CCTTTCAAGCATGGCCCCTGTTACTTTAATCTGCAGTTTAAAGATGCTAGATGTGGTATCACAGGGCATTCTGATTGCCCAATATTCCTCCTTCAGCCCTCCCCCACCGCGCGCCCCCTCCCCCCTTCCGCATTGTGGCATTGAGTGGAAATCAGCAGCAAAACTCATCATGATTCTGGAACGGAACTTTGTGATGTATTCGGATGTGGGAGGATGTTCCATTGAAAACATTTCCTGCGATAGCCTCAATCTCTGATCAGCAGTTTTAAAGCTTGATCAACAGGGGAAACTGATATGCATACATACTTATGTATCAAATCCATAGAAAATACTTTTCCCTATGGTTTAACTTTCAAGAGAATGGTTAACAGTATGATAGCGTAACTTATTAATTGAGCTCTATGGAACTCTGGCAATAACAGAGAAAACATTGTGAAAATAAAAACTATGTTTGATATCTCCTACCTACAAGAATAAATCCCACAATTACTGGATCACAAAGCAGGTAGCTGGGTACCTTCAGTAATGGGTCTTACAAATGGAAAAGAATTACAATACTGAAATAGATTTCAGCACCTTGGGACATCCTTGACATGAAAGGCATGACACAAATGCAATTTGTTGTTGTGTACACTATCATTCACAAATGTTTTCCTATCAGAAGGCTGCAGCGCTTAAATAATGTTTTAAACATGATCATTTAAATCACATAGTTTTGTCTAGAACAATTTGAACAAATCATAGAAGTAACTTACTAAATGTCCTGTACTAAAGATTACAAAGAACATCAAGGAAACAGAGCACTCAGCCTAACTAGTCCGTGCTGGTGTTTATACTCCACACAAGTCTTCACCCATTCCTTACTCCCTCCCATATCTTCTATTCCCCTCTTCCGCATATGATGGTGTAGCTGCCTCTTGAATACCCCTCCACTATATGATTCAACCACCACTTCATACAGCGAGCACCACAATTTCACTTCCCTCTGGTGAAGTCGTTGCTACTAAATTCTCTTTTAGATTCCCTGGTCGCTCTCTTATATTTGTATCTCCCAACCAGTGGAAACAGCCATTTAAGTTAACTTTATCGATTCCTTTTATAATTTTAAACACTTCTATTAGGTCCCTCCTTAAACATTTCTTCTCTAGTGGAAAAAAGGCCTAACCTACCCAGTGTATCCCGATAGCAGTCACCTGTCAGCCCTGTAATCTTTCCATCACTGTTATATGCTTCTTATAGAAAAAGAATTGGACACAATACTGCAAATATGGTCTTACCAAGGCTTTGTATAAATTCAGCATCACTTCCTCACTTTTATATCCAGTAATTGTGGGATTTTGTGATTGAAGGGGTTAAATTCAGAACAAATCTATGCAAACACTATTTCAATGAGTGAATAGTGAACCTGTGGAACAGGCTCTCTAGGGAGACAGTTGAAGCAGGAAGAGTTGATTCTTTCAAACATAGATTAGTTTTCTTTTAGGAAATAACATTATGGGATATAGTACATAGGTAGTTTGGGACAAATGTGCACGTGACCACCAGGAAAGCGAACTAGATGGACCTTGGTCTTTTTTCATCTAGCATTTCTTATGTTCTTATGTTCTTACGTTCTATCTCTCTGGATGTAAAACCCAGGACCCCACTGGCCTTTTTTTTATAGTCTTATCACATATGTTAATCTCTGATACTGTATTATGCAGTAATTATTAATATTGTGTTTTGTATTAAAAAGGTAGGCAGAATTAGTAGATGGATTCCACCTGAACAAAAAAGATGTGGGGCGGGGGGGGTGGGGTTGGAGGTTGGTGTGTGGAGGTGTTGGCAGACAGGATAGATAGTATGGTAAGCGAGTGTTTAAACTGGATACAGGTGTTGTTGTAGGTGTAAGAGAGGACCCGAACTAATTAGGGGAAACCTTAAAGTATACCAGTGGTCACATAAACCAAAGTATAATTGGTCTAACTCCATTGGTGGGAGATAAGGAAACTAATAATGCTAATAAAGTAAAGGAAAAAGGCAACAAACAAAGGAGCTATGCTTGCATTAATGCAAGAAGTCTGGCCAATAAGATGTGCGACCTGGAAGATCTTGCAAGGGGGGACAGATTGGACATCTTTAGCATCACAGAGACATGGTGGAATGATTCCAATCAATGGGATACAAATCTGGAAGGATTCACACTATTTAGGAGGGACCATTTCAGGAGAAGAGGAGGTGCTGTGCCAGTATATACAAACTCCAGTATTGAGTATTGAGACACAAATGAGAGAAGATATAAAAAAGAAAAGGACAGACACAGAATAACTTTGGATAGATGGCAACAGAGGTAAACTATTATTTAAGGTTTGCTATAGACCTCCAGGCCAGGGTGAAAGCCTTGATCTGGAAATATGGGATGAGATAAGGAAGGTGACTAGCAAGGGACCATTCTTAAATTTTTAAATTCTCCCTCCTTGTCGGCCTCCCCAGAAATTGTTTGGGATAAAAATGTGTCTACTGGTAAGATAGGGAAAGAATTTCTAAAGTTAAAAGAAGAGTGTTTTATGACTCAGTTTGTAAAGGAGTGAACAAGGGGAAATATATTTTGGACTTGTTTATGAGTAACAGGGATGATCAAACCTCCAACACAAATGTGGGTGAGGGATTAAGTAACAGTGATCATAATGTAATCACATTTGTTATTACAAGGATTGGTGAGGTTATAAAAGCAAAAACAAAATTGCCAAATTTTAAGAAGACCAGTTTTATGTGCTTGTCAGAGCAGGCCTGGCAGGTTTAAACATGGCTCAGGGAGCAGAGGAACTTCCAGACCAATCTTGTGATTGTGATGCAGCTATACCCTACTATTTATACATTTCAGTACAATCCTATGTTTACATATAATCATAGAATGTTACCAGATAGAAACCAATCATTAATCCCAATCAACACACTCTCCTTCTGGCTCCGTGCCTTTTAATATTCCTCTATGGGTTTTGATATGACTCCTGCAAATATTAATCCAGGGTCTTTACTAGTTACATTATTACTGATTTTAGATTTAAGAAATCCAGTTGTAAGAATTGTAGCACAGTTCAATGACATGGAGACATATGGGAGATCAAATACAATTTGGTATACAAACCAATTTAGTGATGGGCCTGAATTTCTATATTGATCAGCAATACACTGCGTGGATGAATAATTCTTCTGACATTAGTTAGTACGCTAACGAACATTGCTGCAATAATGCTCATTTATGAAATTTACAGCCTGAGGATTGAATCTTCATAACATTTTGATACAGCATTAACATAATGTTAGAGTGCAGTTTGTATCAAATACATTTGGGGTGTTTGCTAAAGTGAAGTTAAGTGGCCCGACATTCCACCTGGTTTTAACAATAATAATATTTTTTGTCTTAAGTCTATTGTTTTGAAAGTTCAGATCATGCAGAATAATGGAGGATTTTTAAATTTTGACTTTATGTGGGGGCTGATTTTCTGTAATTCTTAAAAAGAACTAAGCCAAACTTGTATCAAAAATAAGACTTAATCGAAGAATTTTCCATAATTCAAAACACTCTTAACATTTAAGGCAAAATGGTCTTACATGTTAAGACGAGATGGAATTGGAACCCCTGATGAGTTAACAGGATCACTGGAGCTTTTCATAGAGTGATGATTGGTGAGAAACTACAGTATTAGAAGCATTTGCAATATAAAAATAAATAAGCAGTACCACCATCATAACTTGCAAAAGGTTATATTTAAGTCCCCAAAGGAGGAAGTATAGGAAAAGAAAAGGGTACTTGTCCCATATTTTAATGTAATAATCCAGCAGCTGTGCAATATTGAGTTGAAACTGAAAAATAGTTCTTTACTGGATTGATGTCGACCACTTAACAGTTCTAAACAAGTTTTACGATACCTTTTTAAATGAAGGTTGATGTTGTCCAGTTTGCAAATACTGTGAGTAACATTTAGTTTACTCTTTATGTTTGTACTTGACTTCAAGACTAAGTGCAATTTTGATTAGCATGTCATTTGATGCTGAATTGATGCTCCAGAATAATACATAAGAACTTTTAATTAATATTGTTCTGCAGATAATGGGCTGCTGAAGAAGAGAGTAAAATCTAGCATAGTTTCTATTCGATTAAAAACAGGTTCTTTGCTGATTTATTAATAGATTTCCACTTATTCGTTTTAAAACAGGCACATTTTTAGATTGTTTTCCAGCAATAAAAAGACTGTGATTACATTTATTATATTTAATAATAATGATCCTTGCATTTGTTATAGCGCTTTTCACGTCTTCTAGACGTCTCAAAGAGCTTCACAGAATATGCTGTAAAGTGAATTGACCATATATTTGTGGGCGAAATGCGGCAGCCAATTGCGCACAGCAATGTCCCACAAACAGTCGTGGATTAAAAATGACCAATTTATTATTGTTTAGTTTTGGAGGGATTATTATTAGGCGTGTGGAGTAAGGAAACTTGCCCAAGGTTTCGCCCTTCCGGGAATTGAAACCAGGTGTCTCGCTTGCAAGGCGAGTGCTCTAACCACTGAGCTACAGGACTCCACAGACTCCACACTGAGCTACAGGACTTTACCTTAGTATTACTAAGATCAACAACAACAACAACAACTTGGATTTATATAGCGCCCTCCACGCCGGACGGCGTCTCAGAGCGTTTTACAGTTTCGGATCCCGGGACTGAGCCGGGGGAGGGGGGGGGGAAGGTGACCAAAGGCGTGGTTGAAAGAAAAGGTCTTCAGCAGAGACCTGAAAATGGGAAAGGAGGGAGCGAGACGAAGGGAGGGAGGAAGGTAGTTCAGGAGCCTCGGGCCATAGTGGCTTAAGGCACGGCCGCCGAGGGTGGAGCGAAGGACTCGGGGGACAAGGAGGAGGCCAGACCCAGAGGAACGAAGGCAATGAGTACTGTGCTGAGGAGAGAGGAGGTCAGAGAGGTAGGGGAATGCAGAGGAGTGCAGGGACTTGAATACCAGGGTGAGGATCTTGAAATCGACACTTCTGGAGTAGCCTCAAGAAATCACAAATTATTTATGAAACATTGCACATTATATGGATTGGAAATTATTTCATATCACTTTTTATTGCGGTACATATGCCATCAACATAAAGCTACAGCTGCCATTTCAAGCAATCAGTTTTTTTTAAAAAAAACTTCAATTGCACATAATTGATTCACTAAATATAGTTCATCAATTTCAAGTTTGTACATCAATACTAGAAATTGCCACTTTTTTTGAATATTTTATATTCAACTTTCATAATTGTATATTTGATACATTATTAACCTTTACTCCTCTTGGTTTCCTTTGAGATATTTCTAGAGGCATTGCTTTAATGTAAGCTACTTTATTCATTCAGTTCACATCAAAACTTAGGGATGTGTCTTTAAATCTTTGCAGAGTATCACATCTTCAGTGTCGATTGGTAACTGCACGGAATGGTACCCATCTAAGTGAGACTACCATTAGGGCTTTGGCTTCTATGTTGGAAGAACGTGTCGATAACTTAACATTTGCCCTTATTGCAAACCTGCTTGGCTTTGCCGGCATGCCTCCTCTGATTGATATTAATCCCAATGATACACCTCTTATCTCACTCTGAGGATATTTTTGAATATGTTACTCATTTTATCAACCTCATACTCATTTTATTAACCTCATAAGAAGAACTAGTTGGACTCAATTCAGTTACAATAATAAAAGTTTCTTACATTGATTTCCATGAAATAATGTGACAGAAATTTGCACAGCTGTATATATAAGAACCCTGATCAGGTTTGTATATTTGCCCACTTTTTGTCAAAGTAATTTCTGTTTATAAATTGGTGTCAGATGCTGTTCCAACAGCATGTATACGATTCTCTGTACCAGGTGAACTGTTGTCAAGATTAGCTTTTGTTCCACTTGAAAGTGATATGCTGGCGTGGCGTCTTATAATCTTGAGAACTATACTCCTGTAGCCCTTGCAAGCAAAGAAGTAGATGAAGGGATCCATGCAGCAATTAAAGTTCATCACAGACACAGTTATGTGGAGGGCAATTTGAAAGTACTGTTTCTCCTGGCAGGTTGGTTCATAGCTTAGTTTTTTGATCATGTGTTGTATGATAGTAATGTGGTATGGAGTAAAACAGAGTACAAACACAATCAGCACGAGAAGCACAATATTGTTGGCTTTTTTGTTCCTTCCTGATTTTTCAGTTAAAGGATTCTGTTTTGCTGTCTTGGAAAGTTTTGAGCTGATTTGGGAGTAGCAGACCATCATGATTATTACGGGTAGACAGTAGCCCACAAGGCAACCACCAAGAAGTATTCCTGGGAGATTTGGAATTGTTTCAAAATTTGGGTATTCCATGCACGTTATGAAATTATGATCCTTTTTAGACATTGGGATGATCAACAGTGGTACTGTCTGACAAAATACAATGATCCAAACAATGATGCAGATTTTTTTGACATTTTTAACATTTCTGAACTTGGTGTGGCGAAATGGATATATTACAACAAGAAATCTGTCTAAGCTTAAACAGATCATAAAGCTTACACTGGCATAAGTGTTGCTGTAGCAAACAAGTGAAACAATTCTGCATATTGCTTCACCAAAAGGCCAGTTAAATCCCCGTGCATAATATATTATTCTTGTGGGTAAAATAACTGCAAAGAGAATGTCTGACACGACAAGGTTCATAGAGTAAAGTGTGCTGGAATTCATCTTTTTCTGTTTTTTCTTAATAGCGAGTATGGCTAAAATATTTCCAAACACACCAACGAGACATACAAATGTGTAGTGCAAAGGTAGCAGGACCCTTGCTGTAGCACGGTGGGTGTACAGATCACATACATTCAGGTTTGCAGAACTGTTGGTAGTAGAGACATTTTCAGATGAATTATTCATGTTGAAAATCGTTCCCAGCTATTTTACGTAAACTGGAACTCTTCCCCTGCATTAAAGAAAGAAATATTTCAGTATTTTAATATTGCATAATTATATTAAGTTTGATAATAATATAAAATAATATTCCTTGCATTTGATATAGCGCCTTATCACATCTTTCAGTTAGAAATAATGTTTAACTTGACGGGGAGATTCTAAAGGATGCAAAATATTTTATAAAATGGGAGAAGAAAATAAGATCCGAAACGAACAAATCAATAAAGGTAAACAACACCATAGCAATTGCAATCTCATACTTAATTTACAATAATTTTTCCCATATACCAAGCTTTCCCATATATCAACTTCTGCTGTAATAACTTCTGTTATGAATTGAAACATATAAGAATCCAATCTTTGACACACCCTTTCTAGCTTAATATTGAGTCAAAAACCATCAGTACAGATAACTAGAGCAAATTGTTTGACATTTGCAAATGAATTACTTGACAAGTGTTGCTTATACTTTTTACACTGCTGCTAAACAAATATTTAAAAAGTGATTACAACAAATATCACTTCATGCTTGTAAACTTGCTCTGCGTGTGTGAGAGGGGAGATAGAGTTATGCAGGGAGATACTAGGAGCTGGAGCAGATTGAATCAGTAAGACTTTCTCTGCACTGTAATACAGGTCCCATCCATCAACTACCACATCCAGTTCATCTTTACAGCAGAGGATATGGAAATTGTAAGCTTGGTATATGGAAAAAATGATTGTAAATTAAGTATGAGATTGCAATTGTTATGGTGCTGTTTACCTTTATTGATTTGTTTGTAGTTTCCAATCTTATTTCCTCCTCTGATTTTGTAAAATATGTTGCGTGCTTTAGAACCTCCCCGTCAAATTAAGTATTATTTCGAACTGAAAGGAGTGGATACATGACCTGTGCCCAGGCATCTGCCACTACTACTCTTAAAGGGGTATAGCAAAGGGACTCCGATTTTTTCTCTCTCCGAACAACGTCTCAAATCGCTTCACAGAATATACTATAAAGTTAATTGACTGTATATATTGTGGGCAAAATGCAGCAGCCAATTGCACACAGCAGTGTCCCACAAACAGCTAGATCTGTAAAATTTGCAAGAATTATAAGTACTTACAGTGTTTTCTTCAAGGTCTGTATTATTGTAGATGGATCCAATTTCTCTCTGACGGATGGTTTCAGATCTTAGGTCACAAATAGAATGAAGACACCCTGCCTTAAGCTGGGTGTGGGGATGTGAGTTGATATTTAAATTATGAGCTAATTCTCTTCAGTTTCCTGTGGTTACATTATTCCGTGCAGTGTTATCTCTTGACTGATGATTTTTAAGAAGTGAAAGCTTCTCGGTTAACTGATGCAATGGTGTACGTAGATCCCACGTGAGTGTACTACGTTCAAACAGGTTTTGACCAACCTTTTCCAAATGTATAGTGGTTTGTAAGAAACCCCAAAATAGTGAGAACATATGATAAAACATCATGTTTCATCATGTATTAAAACAAAGCAAATAGCTGAATTTATTCTGGGAAGTAGCTTTTGAATATCTGTGTCATCTGACGTTTTACAGTCAGATGAAGAAACTACAACAACAACAACAAAATTACATTTGTATAGTGCCTTTCTCATCGGGAGGACATCCCAAGCCGCTAGACAGACAGAGTTTTGGACCCGAGCTGAGGGTTGGGGTCGGGGAGTGTGAAGGGCCGGGGGGAAAGCAGGGAAATTGAAACCACAGTCGAAGAGGAGGGTCGTGAGATGGGTCTTGAATTTGGCAAAGGAGCGGGCGAGGCGGAGGGACTGCGGGATGGAGTTCCAGAGGGTGGGGGCAGAGTGGCAGAAGGCCCGCCTGACAATGGTGGGGTGAACGAGGTGGGGAACGTGAAGCAGGCCGGAGCCTGAGGGATGGGGAGCCAGTGGAGCCGGGCGAGGTTGGAGGTAATACTGTCAAGGAGCCTGGTGCGGGAGAGGACACGAGCTGCAGCTTGTGGAGGGAAGAGTTGGGGAGGCCGACAAGGAGGGAGTTTCTGTTGCCGATCCTTGAGGTGAGGAATGAGTGTATGAGGGTTTTGGCGGCCTGAGGGGTGAGACAGTGGCGGAGTCGGGCAATGTTGCGGAGGTGGGGGACGGCAGAGCGGGTCATGGCATGGATATGGGGGGGGGGAGGAGAGTTTAGGGATGAACAAGACGCCCAGGTTCCTGACTGGCTTGGTGAGGTGGAGTGTGCGACCGTGGATGCCAGTGCCTCAGAAGGGCCTCGGTCTTGCTGACATTCAGCTGTAGAAAGTTGGCACTCATCCAGGACTTGATGTCTGACAGACAGTCTGTCAGGACGTCAGTTGTCCTGGAATCGAGGGTGGAGGCAGAGAGATAGAGTTGGTGACATCCACGTACATGTGGAAATTGACCCCATGTCTGTGGATGATGTAGAGGTTGAAGAGGAAGGGACCAAGGACAGAGCCCTGAGGAACACCACACTAGACTGTTCGGGGCTGGAAGAGAAAACGATGGTGGTGGTGTGAGAGATAAGACCTGAACCATTCAAGGACCGAATGTTAAAGGTTGAGGTGAGAGTATGGGTGGTGGAGGAGGATGGAGTGGTCCACGCTATCGAAGGCAGCAGAGAGGTTGAGGAGGACGAGGAGACAGAGGGAGCCCTGGTCACAGATGGACAAAATGTCGTTTACCTTGACCAGAGCAGTTTCCGTGCACGGAAACCCGATTGGAGGGGCTCATGAATTGAGTGGTAGGAGAGTAATGAGCGAAGCTGGGAAGTAACGACTCTTTCAAGAATATTCGAAAGAAACAACAACAACTTGGATTTATATAACACCCTCCAACGCCGGACGGCGTCTCAGAGCGCTTTACAGTTTAGGATCCCGGGACTGAGCCGGGGGAGGGGAAGGAAACTGACCAAAGGCAGGGTCGAAAAGAAAGGTCTTCAGCAGAGACCTGAAAATGGGAAGGGCGGAAGCGAGACAAAGGGAGTGAGGAAGGTAGTTCCAGAGCCTCGGGGCATAGAAAATGGAGGTTGGAGATGGGTTCATGGAAGGTTTTTTCAGGTTGGGGTGATAGTAGCTGTTTTTAGAGGTATGGGACCAGTGCCAGATGAAAAGAAGAGATTGATGATGTCGGAGAGTAGAGGGGCGAGGAGGTGGAACTGGGAAGTAAGGAGAGGGGTGGGTATGTGGTCAAGGGAGCAGGTGGTGTGTTTCATGCTGCGTATGGCGGTGGTGAGAGAGGAGGGGATAAAGGTTTGAAAATGTGGAGGGATGGATGGGTAGGTGTCGGAGTGCAGGGGGGAGATGGGGAGGGAGGGGTGATTGGGAGGGTGGAGGCAGATCCCCTCGATTTTGGACTCAAAGAAATCCAGCATCTCCTCACAGCCAGAGCTTGAGGAGAGGATGGCGAGGAGTGGGAGGGTGGACGGAGGAGCTGGTTGGTAGCCTGCTCTAATAATTGTACAGAGAATTGTACATTTCCCTGCCTGCTCTCTTTTATGATTGATCATGTCCCTGTGTTTCCTGTCAAGAGCCACCACAGCTCTATTCCTTTTAAGTTCCCTCTTACATTTAGATTTCCTGTAATGAAGACACAATGACACTTCCAAACCCTGATACTGAGTTTTAACTAAGTTTAACTTCCAGGCAGTGGCTCCATGTTTCCTTTCTTGTAACACTTTCTGTGCAGGTGCTAATAGTACTTTCAACTCTCACCTGGTTTATATTGTGCAGGATCTGGCTACTGTTTTTCAGTGCACTGAGATCAAGTTAACCAGAGGTAAGGCACTCTATCATTGTGCTGTAAATACATCCAAGAAACCATTTTTCAAAAGGCTAACATTTAACCAGAACTTTCCCTATTATCGTTACACCAGGCTGTTTCTTTCTCCACACATTAGTAACTTAACGTATTTATAAAGTTTAACAACTGTCAGCCTGGCTCAATTGGTAACATTCTCACCTCTAAATCAGAAGGTCGTGGCTTCAAGCCCCATATCGGACCATGAGCGCAGAGCATTTAGCCTCCCAGTGTCAGCTATTATTTTGAAGCTCCAATTAAGCACATTGCACATTTTGGATTTTTTGAGTGAGTAAGTAAGTCTTTGGGTCCATACCCCAATCATACAATAAGTAAATTTACGTTCTAATGAAGTATTATGTAACAGGACTTCACTGTAATTGGGCATCTCTGATTAAATCAAATGAAAAGAGGATCAAGAAGAACTACAACGGCATGTGCATGACTGATGTATGAGTTATAAATATTATACAAAGAGCAGTAGTATTTGCTCAAATCTATTACTGTCTTGGAACAGAGTTGGAACTATGAGCAGTCATGCTGAGAAGTTTGCCTCCACGCAGTTGTATTGTCTTTGGAGTACTGACGTGCTGAGACTAATAGTTCAGGGTACTTAACTTCTAATCAAGTTAACAGGTGTTTTTGAGAGTCTGAACTTCCAACTTTCTCGAACACAGGTCCACATTCCCTGTTGCTCTTTTATCCAAACCTCATATATAAATAGCATTTCATTGATTTAGAATAAAACACTAATTCTCAGCAGTTGAGAGCCATGTGTTGCCTTACTCATTGTACAAGTGGAGACTGACTAGGATTTTCCCTATTGAGTTTTCTGTTTTTTATTTAACCTTTTGAATAAACCTTTAAAAAGATAATTCTGGTGTTTCCCCACTACCAATTTTAAATTGATGACTAAAACAGTTTTTAAAATTCCATTTTGAGAGAACTTTTCTATATTTACCTACTTTAAACACTCAATTCAGCCTCATTTGTTGGCCCTATGGGGAAAGATACTGTCTGTTATAGGATGCCTTGTGTTTCATTAAACCTGACTGCATTGCATGGTGTAACACTAAATTTTATATCTCGATTCTGATATTCTATTGCTTGGCATGTCATATTGAGGCCAGCTCCACCCCAAAGAGACCCTGTTTACCTCCACCTCACCCCCTTCTGAAAGGAGGACAGACAGTACTGTTTAGTTTAGGACTACAACAGACAGTGTTGACGCTGTCATTTAGTTGAAAAAGTGCTTGTCTGAGTAAACATTTTCCGATTTAGCTTCAGAACCTGTACCCCGTTGTATCTTTTAATCCACACAGTCTAGAACAGTGGTGGCCACTGAGGCAATAAGCAGTGGCCTGTCAAACATTCACACTAGTCTAGATAAGTCTACATTAAATCAACATTTTGTTTCCAGTAGCTACTGAGTAGTGATACTTATGGTGAAATATTCACCAACTTACACCACATAGTTTCTGGAATTTCGTCAGCAGGCTGTGTCTCTCCAGGGAGAGCCTGTATATTCCACTCCAGACATAAGGAAATTTCCATGCGTAGGTGGCATACATATGGAACTCTGTCTGGGTTGGACACTCTTAAGCATGGTTCGACTACATGTATCAGTCGTATAGTTGACCTAAATGAATTCATACTTGTTTCTCTTTTTCAAGCATGTATCTATATTCCTTTTAAAATAATTTATGAAGAGAGTTTTGAGCTTCAAGTTTCAATAGAAGACTGGAGCTCTGAATGACATTCAGGTGATTTAGATGTATTGAGTACCTAACATACCTCTGGTGAAAAGTAGCAGGTTTTCACACTTGCTGCAGAGCTCAAGAGCCTGTTCTTCCTGTGATCTCTACTAGCTCTGCGGCTTGATATTGAGCTCACATCCTCGCAGCTTCCTTTCTTTCAGTAAAGAGCCAGAATGTACTATTTTACTTGCATCGCATTCAACACATGTATAATCAGACTTACTACTTGTAATAACTTTATTAAGATATATTTTGAAATGCAATTATATAATTGAAGGCTAATACCCTGGGAAGGTGATGCAAATATTATAGTGTGCAAGCTTCGAAGGATATTTGCAAACCCAGGACTGTCTAGGGCCTTTGAATGTCCTCCCGATGTGAAAGGCGCTATATGAATGTAAATTGTTGTTGATATTGGCCAGAGTTCTGATTTATTTTAAAGAAATTTCTATCCAGTGACTCTTGCTGCAAAATATATACAGGTGGACATTGGACTTTCAAACTGTGATGGTCTCACATGTGAAGAACGCCACTTGAACAAAGCACTGGGAAAGTAAATTCAACTAAACCATATCTCTTTTTAATAGACAGTTTACTCCCTAGTTTGTCAGGAACTGCATGCTATATTATGGAGTCCTGTAGCGTATTGGTTAGAGCACTCACAAGCGAAAGGACCTGGGTTTGACTCCACACACCTCTGTTACCTAGCAATAAGCAGGAACCTGTTGATAGATAATTGTCGGATCGCATTTCTGGGGGTGGTAATCCCGTCAAAAAATAATAATAATAATTTGGTCACTCAATCCACGACTGTTTGTGCGCAATTGGCCGCCGTGTTTCGCCCACAAAATATAGTCAATTCACTTTACAGTTATCCTGCGAAGCGCTTTGAGACGTCTATAATAATAATAATCCTTGCATTTGATATAGCGCTTTTCACGTCTTCTAGACGTCCCAAAGCGCTTCACAGAATATACTGCAAAGTGAATTGACTGTATATTTGTGGGCGAACGCGGCAGCCAATTTACACAGCAATGTCCCACAAACAGTCATGGATTGAAAATGACCAATTTATTATTGTTTTTTTTTGAGGGATTATTATTAGGCGTGTTGAGTAAGGAAACTTGCCCAAGGTTTCGCCCTGGCTGGAATTTCTCTCACTTGCAAAGCGAGTGCTCTAACCACTGAGCTACAGGACTCCACGTGATAAGGGGCTATATCAAATGCGAGGATTATTATAATTATTGTGAAGACACCAAATTTTTATCTCTTTTGCTGAGGTCATGCAGCTGATGTGGCAGTATTGTAAAGAGGGAAGAGGGTCTACTTCCCAACTTCACTTCATACATAGGTAACCCATGCACAGAGCCCCCAAATTAGGTGTTTGTTTATTTTAACATTATGAACAACAAGAGACTTTTATTTGAAGCCTTTCACGTCGAGAGGAGGTCCAACTGCACTGGACAGTTGAGAATTTGCACTCGAGCTGGGGTTGGATTAGGAGAAGGGTAGGGGCCAAGGGTGGTGGGGGAAGGATGACCAAAAGCATAATCAAAGAGGAAGGTCTGAGACGGACCTTAAAGGAGGTGAGAGAAAGACCTTGGCGAATTGACTCTGGGATGCAGGTCCAAAGAGTGGGGAAGAGACAATAACAAGAGCAACAACAACAACATGATTACATTTGTATAGCGCCTTTCAAGTCAGGAGGACGTTCCAAGGCGCTGGACAGTGTACAGTATTTCAGACCCGAGTTGGGGTCAGGGGGGGAGAGGGGAGGGGAAGGGGAGTGGCCGATTGCATGGTCAAAGAGGAGGGTCTTGAGGCGGGACTTGAAGGAGGCTAAGAAGGGGGGCGAGGCGGAGTGATTGGGGGATGGAATTCCAGAGGTTGGGGGCAGAGTGGCTGAAGGCTCTCCTGCCAATGGTGGGTCTGGGGACGTGGAGTAGGCCGGAGCAGGCTGAGCGGAGGGAGCGGGCGGGTTGGTAGGGGGTTAGAAGGTTGCAGAAGTAGAGTGGGGTGAGGCCATGGAGGGCTTTGTATGTGATGACCAGGATCTTGAACTGAATCCTCCGAAGGATAGGGAGCCAATAGAGTTGGGCGAGAATGGAGGAGATGGAGTCACGGAGTTTGGTGCAGGAGAGGACACGGGCTGCAGAGATCTGGATTATCTGCAGCCTGTGGAGGGAGGAGTTGGGAAGGCCGACAAGCAGGGCATTTGCGGAGTCGAGCCTGGAGGTGATGAAGGCATGAACAAGAGTTTCAGTGGCCTGAGGGCTGAGGTAATGGTGGAGTCGGGCGATGTTACAGAGGTGAGGGAAGGCAGAGCGGGTCATGGCTTGGATGTGGGGGAGAAAAGATGGTTGAGGGTTGAACAAGACACCTCGGTTCCTGACTGGTGTGGTGACTTGATTGGTGAGTTGAAGTGTGCAACCATGGAGGTTGATGCTGCCAGAGCCTGAGGTGCAGAGGCGCTGACGTGAGCCAATCAGGAGGGCCTCAGTCTTGTTCACATTCAACTGTAGGAAATTTGCCCTCATCCAGGACTTGATGTCTGATGGGACATGGGACATCTTCAGTGCCTTGGGACGTCCTCCTGACGTGAAAGGCGCTTTATAAATGGAATCTTGTTGTTGTTGTTGATGGGCAGTCAGTGGAGACGATGAGAGAGATAGGAATTGAACCAGGCAAGGGTAGGTCAGTGAAGATTAAGTAAAGAGGAGAGTGGTGTATGAGGATGGAGTGGTCGACAGTGTTGAAGATGGCAGAGAGGTAGAGGATGACAAGGAGGCAGAGGGAGCCCTGATCACAGATGTTCAGAATGTCATTCGTGACTTTGACCAGGGCTGTTTCCGTGCTATGGGCAGTGCGGAAGCTGGATCAGAGGGGTTCAAAGAGGGAATGGCGAGAGAGAAAGGAGCTGGGACCCGACGACTCGTTCCAGGACCTTGGAGAGGAATGGGATGTTAGAAATGGGGCGGTAGCTGGAGAGGAGGGATGGATCCAGGAAAGGTTTTTTCAGAATGGGGGTGATGACGGGTGTTTTTAGGTAGGAACTGAACCAGTGGACAAGGAGAGGTTGATGATGTCGGACAGGGGAGGGGCCAGATGGTGGAGCTGGGAGATGAGGAGAGAGGTGGGGATGGGATCGAGGGAGCAGCAGTTGGGTTTGAGTTTGCGGACAGTCTTGGTGAGGGAGGAGGGAGAGATAGGGTTGAAGGAGTATAGGTGGGGGGTGGGTCATGAGGGAGAGGTGATGTAGGGGTGGTTGTGGACGGGGCTGAGGGAGCTGAACGTATCCCCTCGATTTTGGATTCGAGGAAGTCCAGCATCTCCTCACAGTTGGAGTTTGAGGAGAGGATGGGCGAGGCATGGGAAGGTGGATGGAGGAGATGATTAGTGGTGGAAAAGAGAAGCCGGGGGTTGTCCTTTGCCTCCAAGATAACCTTGGAGTAGATTTGGCGGAGGCAAGAGAGCAGCGGTAGATCTTGGTGTGGTGAAGCCAGATCTGCCAATGGACCATTAGTTTGAATTTGGTCCAGGCGCGGTCGGCAGCTCGCACTTGTGCCTTGAGGGAATGGAGATGGCTGGTGTACCAGGGGTATTTATGGGAGAATGAGGCAGTTTGGGCGGTGAGGGGGGCAAGATAGGCTGAAATCCAAAGCGAGTGCTCTAACCACTGAGCTACGGGACTTGCAAGCGAGAGACCTGAGTTCAATTCCCGGCAGGGCGAAACCTTGGGCAAGTTTCCTCACTCCACACGCCTAATAATAATCCCTCCAAAAAAATAACAATAATAAATTGGTCATTTTCAATCCATGACTGTTTGTGGGACACTGCTGTGCGCAATTGGCTGCCGCGTTCGCCCACAAAAATACAGTCAATTCACTTTACAGTGTGTTCTGTGAAGCGCTTTGGGACGTCCTCCTGACGTGAAAAACGCTATATCAAATGCAAGGATTATTATTATTATTACATGTAACAGGTCAGTGCGGGAGGTTGGTAGGGTTGGTCACATGATCACCTCTTCAATCCTTTAAGTTAGCTATTCCAGCTATTCCTTTAGAAAGCACAGTTCCTGAGCTTTCTAAAGGAATAGCTGCAGAGCTTGAACAGATCTTAGAGCAGAAATGCAGTGGAATTCCTCTCTTGAACATTTCTGTGACAGCAGTGTGCATGTTAACACACCCTCAATAATACCACGACAACTTTTAATAATAATAATTCTTGCATTTGATGTAATGCCTTATCAAATTTTCGAGGCACCTCAAAGAGCTTCACAAAATATACTGTAAAGTGGATTGACTATATAATGCTATGGTATGACTGCCGGTCATACCATAGCAAGCGATTTGAAATTGCTTCCTGTAATAAGGCAGTTAGGGCTGGGGACACAGCAAACATTTTGTTATTAACAACAACAACTTGCACTTATATAGCACACTTCACGCGGGGTTGTGTCCCGGTGCGCTTGACAGTGGCAGACTCTGACCCCACACCTCGAGAGAAGGTGACCATAAGCATGATCAAAAAGCAAGGTCTTTAGGCAGGATTTGAAAGTGGGAGTGAAGGGGTGAAGCGATTGAGGGAGAGAGTTCCAGATTTTTGGGGCGTAGTGGCTGAAAGCATGGCCACCAATGGTGGAGAAGAGGGGATGAGGGACGAACAAGAGGCCGGAGTCAGCCCGAGGGGAGGCAGTGGGTGGGAGAGTGGGGGCTAAGCAAATCAGATAGTTAGGAGATGTGAGGGCATGACGGAAATTGAAAACGAGTGAGAGGATCTTGAAATCAATTACTAAATTATTAAAACATGATTTGCCCACAGCTCGATTCCTCTCTTTAATGGGGCAGTTTGTGTTCTATGTGCTCTTACTAGGTGATGAAATTTGCGGTATTTCCATAGCATTGTCTTGTTACAATGATCACAAAGTGCATGTTGTGAAATGACACCAATTTCATGCTGTTCATTGATGAACATCACTTTCTACTCACCCTCCTTTAGATTGCTCTGCAGTTTCTCTCCATTTTTCAGTGTGAAAATCATCTCACCTCTCCTTTATACTTTTATACTTATAACTAAATAAAGTCTATAGGTTGATCTGAAGATATAATTGTTGCCATTAGAGTATAACATACTCGAAATGCACACAGTCACACCACTTTACAGTATATCCTGCGAAGCGCTTTGAGACATCTCGACGACATGATAAGGTGCTATATCCAATGCAAAGATTATTATTATTTATTATTATTGTACATTTTGAAATCAATACTTTAAATGAGTTCATAGAAATATTATGGTATTTTATTTGGGAATAGTAATGCCAAAAGAAAATGTTAAACTGTATAATAAGGATTCTGAGAATTGCCAACTAAGATATGATTGGTATTTACACCATGTGGTCCAGATGTGAGTTTGATATGGCTGTTTCCTTTTTCTTTAGTCTGGGTCCTGTATTTGCTCTGTTTGTGCCTTTCTACTTCTCCATTCCAAGAGTTCAAGTGACCCATATCTTGGGCAGATTTTCCATCACAAACAAAACACTTGTCTACATATTGGGTCTTCAGGTATGTATACCACTGTACACCTATGGTGTTTGATACTGCATGGTTATTAATGTAATGTAGCGCAAATTAGATTGGACCTGAAATTCAACTTGTATATATCTCCTCAGTTAAAAGTCTTGAAATTACACCTCACAAATGAACTCCACAAGTGGATTGAGTTAATTCATTGGCAGGATATATAGTACAAGCTGTACCTGTTGCAGCTTTGTTTGCAACCAAAGGATCCAATATGGAATGTAGATTGATCCACAGAAGTCACATAGACATTTTGTCTTTATCTATACTCAGTGGGGAGGACTCCTGTGGGAGGACTCAGTGGGAGTATTTCTTTAATATATTTTCTCTCTCAGTCTCTCTGCCTCTGTCAGTCTCTCTCTCTCTTAGTCTCTCTCTTTCTCAGTCTCTCTCCCCCCCTCTCTCTCTCTCTCTCTCAGTCTTTCTCTCAGTCTCTCACTCTCTCTCTCCCACTCTCTCTCTTTCAGTCTCTCTCTCAGTCTCTCACTATCACAGTCTCTCTCTCTCTCTGTTTCTCTCTCTCCCTGACTCTCTCTCAGGCTTTCTCCCACAAAACACAGTCACTACATTTTATAATATATTCTCTCTTACAGTCTTTATCTCTCTCCCAGTCTCTCTCTGTCTCTTTCAGTCTCTCTCACTATCCCAATCTCTCTCTGTCTGTCCCACATGGGACGACTCTAGCTCCCATGACAAACAGAAAAAAGTGCCATACATTTGTATCTCTCTGAACGGTGTGTGCTTTCCTCTGTCGTTATGTAGTTGCAGAATACGATGCATACCTCACATTTTGGAGCTTAATTAAAGCATTTTTTAATATAGCTCATCAACGATAGGGGCAAACAAATATGCCCATGACACTGCCAGATGCAAGAATTTTCAGAGAATCTGTGAGAGACTGTGCGAGAAAATATATGAAAGGAGTCCACCCACTGAGTCCTCCCACAGGAGTCCTCCCAGCTGGGTATAGATAAAGACGAAACGTCTGTCCTTGTGTGTCTGTCTGTGTGTCAATCCACATTCCATATTGGATCCTTTAGTTGCAAGCGAAGCTGCAACGGGTACAGACATTTCATCTTTATACTCAGCTGGGAGGACACCTGTAATATATTTCCACTCCCAGTCTCTCTGTCTCACTGTCTCTCTCTCTCTCTCTCTCTGTCTCTCTCCCAGTCTCTCTCCCAGTCTCTCACTGTGTCTCTCTCTCTTAGTTTCTTTCTCTCTGTGTCTCCCCCAAAACACAGTCACAACACTTTATAATATCTTGTCTTTCACAGTCTCTCTCAGTCAGATGAGTTTACATGTGTTTTTCTCTCTCTCTCTCTCTCTCTCTCACTCCCTGTCTCGCTCTCTCAGTCTCTCTCTCTCAGTCTTTCTTTCTGTTTCTCCCCCTCTCCCAGTCTCTCTCGCACTCTCTCTCTCGGTTTCTCAGTCTCTCTCTTTCTCTCTCAGTTTCTCTCTCTGTCTCTCCCACAAAACACACAGTCACTACTCATAATGATATATTCTCTCTCACAGCCACAGATTTTTTTGTCTGTAAGCCATTATTATATACTGTATGGACACGATCTCACAATGGGTATAATTCACAACTGATTGACGTAGAGACATGGTTTAGGATACTTCATATTTTGGGCTTAATTTTTAATATAGTTCATCAACGATAGGAGATTCCCAGAAAAATATCCCCATGACACTGCCAGATGCAAGACCTTTCTGATGAGGTATAAATTATATCTCTACGCCAATCGGTTATTGCATGATTGTCAAATACACAGACAGACAGACATTGTCGTTTTATTAGTATAGATTATAAAATTGGCTGATACCGAGCTATGGGGGAGGTAACTGATGTAACAATTTGCATGAATTTGATACTTTTCATGTAAAATACCCTTTCAAAGCACTTGACCTTTGTTGTGTTATGCTGAGGATAACGGTTTTAATGATGTTGACCAAAGAGATATATTTTGGGAGGTTTTTGAAGGCAAGGGGAGATAACAAGGTTAAATGGATTTGGAAGACTGCTTCAGGGGTCGAAAGCATGGCTATCTGTTATGGAGCAAAGTGGAGAGAGGATGAGCAATAAATCAGAATTGGAAGAGTGGAGCTTACAGGCTTGATTGTAGCACTAAAGAATATTGCGTAAATAGGATGGATTAAAACTGAAGAGTAGGAGGATCTTAAAGTTGACTGCTGTGGTGCTGGAACTCATTAGACATTGATAAGGATGGTTATAGTTGGTTTGTGGAGCCTTGTACATGATAGATCTCAGACTGCAGAGCTCTGGATCAGTTGAAGTTTCTGGAGAGTCGAACTAGGGAGGCCAGTGAGGGGAGTATTGGAAAATCTTTAATCGAGGTGGCAAAAGCATACATATGAGTTTCACTAGCAGTGGGTGTCAGTGGGTAAGGGCGTAAGTGGGTAACATGTTGAAGATGGATGAAACTCTGTTGCCAATAAGGGTTGAAACTTTGCTCAGGATCAAGTAGAATTCCAATGTTGCAAACCACAAATTATATTGGATCTAAAGTTATTCTGCAGGAATGCTATACCTGTCATACTGATGCTGACACAATGCCAAAAAGGGGGAAAAAGTGTTCCACTTACCAGCACTGATGCATCATATTTGTTACCATAAAATATTTTCTTGCCTTTCACGTAGAAGGAAAAATAAAAGAAAGTAGGAATGCCCGTAGAGTTGAATATCAAACATTGTACTTAATTTTATGCAGTTATGCATTAATATTTTATATTTCTTCATAGCTTTTAACATCAAGTACTTCTATCTGGATTGTGGCTTTAAGTGGATTGGTAAGTAACACATACAGCAAAATTATTTTAGTTTGTTGTCTCTATTATTAAAATGGTGCTGAAGATGTGATATTATGTGCTTATGAATTCTAAAGAAACAAATATAAAATTAATGGAACATAAATTTAAGCTGTAATTTTAAATTACAAACATACTGATTTCTGCTTTTACTGCTGGATTAAAAGTTTAGTAATCCAGTAAAAGCACACTTGTCGCAAATACAATGCACAAAATGGTTAAAATTGCACTCCACCCAAAACAGCCTTGGGAAACTGGCTATTCAATTTTTACCTTTATTTTATATAGAATTACATAGACTGCTACACTACAAAAACACACCATTCAGCCCAGCTTGTCTGTGTGGTGTTTATACTACACGGCTTCTACTTCACTCTCCCAAACCTCTATGTTCCCCTTATGCAGAAAAGTTTCTGGTTTAAATTGTCCTGTCCTCTTTTCTGGAAGGATGGAGTAAGTAATATTTAGTTATATTGATGTTTAGGTATTTTGAGAAAGGAAAGGGTAAAATATTTAAAAGAACTTGTTTGTGAATTCAAAATAGCTGTTCTTGAGCATTTGTCCTACTTAACTTCCTGCATTGTGTTTCCATTACTGGTGGTTAATTTGGAAAGCTGATAAAAAAAAAGTTGAATAAAGAAGTTAACAAAGAAATTACTTGTGCTTCATTAAGTTATACATGCTAAAATAAATGTTGACTTCAAAATTAATATTGGAGCTAATGATATAGTAATGATCTGATGTAAAACACAGCTGAACTTTTTTTTTTGTCTGTCTGTCATATGTGGAAACCCATCACCATGCTTAAGAGTGTCCAAACCAAGGTGAGATTTCCAAGTGTCCCACCTACAAATGGAAATCCCAGAGATAAATTGTTGGTATGGTACGCACACTCCCTCCCTTGGAGGGATGCACCCTGCTTACCCAATTCCAGAAAGTATTAGGCGAAGGTTGGCAAGAGGCAAGCTGAATTGAAAGCTGAAAGTTCAGTATAATAGAAGAAGTGTCCTTTTTATAAAATTGGACCAAAATAATGACACCTTTCTATTTATTGTGGTCTTATTTTCAGTTATCAGCTCGGCTCAGTGGGTAGCACTCTCACCACTAGGTTAGAAAGTTGTGGGTTCAAGCTTTATGTTTTGACATCAGAGTCTTATGTTTTAGCACTCCATTAATGTGCTGGAGGAACCTTGCATTATCCTTTGGAAAAGTATAAATCGAGACTACGTGTTCAGGCTGATGCTAAAGATCCTGTTACGCTATTCAAAAAGAGAAGGAAATTTCTCCTGGTGTCCTGGCCAGCAATCCTCCAAATAACATCGTTCACTCACTTCATGGCTATTTGTGAGACATTGCTGTGAGGAAATTAGCTACCGTGCAAATACGCAGTTGCTACACTTTACAATAATTCCCAGTGAAGTAGCAGAATTTGTGTCTAGGTATTACATTCAAATACAAGGATTCATATTATTTGCTCTTTGTGTAACTGGGGAATTGCAAGTTCCTTTAATTTTGTAATTAATCAATCAAAGATTTCACGGTGGTGCTTTATTTTAGTTTATTAAATATTAAGGACCACCTATAATTCTTCCTGTACACGTGGGTTTTCTAATGTGAAAACCTCGGAGGGAGAAAACTAAATAGCCAGTCTCTGCTTGTGGTTTCCTTAAAGATACTCTGCATTTATTGGTCAATGCTAACCACTATGAATTCAAATTTATCAACTTTCTAGAAATTTTACAGCTTAAGTAAGCTTGTTAGTGGTGTTGCGCAAATTGATGTGAAGTGATTTTCAATTTGTTCAATGAAGATATTTTGTTGTACATTTAGATTTGTTCATGCATTACTTTCAACAATAAGTTATATTTGTATAACAACAACAAATTACATTTGTATAGAGCCTTTCACATCAGGAAGACATCCCAAGGCACTGGACAGTCAGCAATCCGCACCCGAGCTGGTGGTTGGGATCAGGAGGGATGGAGGGTGGGGATGGTAGGGATAGGAGGGTGACCGAAGGCACAGTCGAAGATGAATGTCTTGAGACAGCAAGGGAGAGGCTGAGGCAGAGGCACTGTGGGATGGAGTTCCAGAGGATGGGAACAGAGGCTGAAGGCACGTGCACCAATGGTGGGGTGGGGAAGCGGGGGGACATGAAGCAGACTGAGCGGAGGGAGCGGACAGGTTGGTTGGGATTAGGAGATTACAGAGGTAGGGAGGATCGAGGCCATAGAAGGCTTTGAAGGTGAGGACCAAGATCTTGAACTGTATCCTCTGAGTGATGGGGAGCCAGAGGAGCTGGGTAAGGGTAGGGCTGATAGGGTCGTGGAGTCTGGTGCTTGAGAGGACACGGACTTCGAAGTTCTGGATGATCTGCAGCCTGTGGAGGGAGGAGTTGGGGAAAACGACAAACAGTTTGCGTAGTTGAGCTTGGATGTGATGAATGTGTGGATGAGGGTCTCGACGGCCTACAGTGAGAAATAGTGGCAGAGCCAGGCAATGTTGCGGAGGTGGGAAAAGCGGAATCGGTCATGGCACAGATGTGGGTGATGAAGGACAATTGAGGGTTGAACAGGACGTCGAAGTTCTGTATTGGTTCTGTGAGGTGTAGAGTGCATCCATGAAGGGTGATGCTGTCAGCGCCTGAGGTTTGAGGGCGCTGGCGGGAGCCAAGCAGGAGGGCCTCAGTCTTGTTGACATTCAACTGGAGGAAATTTGCTTTCATCCAGGACTTAATGTCCAACAGCCAGTCTTTGAGGACAGTAGTGGTCCTAGATTCGAGGGTGGAGGTGGAGAGGTAGAGTTGGGTGTCATCTGCATACATGTGGAAGTTAACCCCATATCTACAGATGATGTCACCAAGGGGGAATGTTGAAAAGGAAGGGACCAAGGACAGAGCCCTGAGGGACACCACATGTTACGGTGCGGGACTGGATGAGAAATCGTAAGTGGAGACAAAGTGGAGACGGTGAGAGAGGTAGGATTTGAACCAGGCAAGAGCAGGTTTCAGCCAGATAAGTGATTTACCTCAAATATTCCAGACGAAATCAGTTTTTCTCCAACAGTTCTAATCACAATCAGTAAGATCTTACTAAATTGATTAAGAATTTGGTGGGGGCGGGTTTGAGGAGGAGAGACAAAGTAACTGTTAAAAACAAACTGCAGGATGAGGCTGCTGTATACCTTTGAGGATGCAAAGTATCCTTCAGGTGGAAACAGTTTTTATTTTAATTTCTGTGTCAACACAATAAAAGGAATAATGTTTAGTTTTATTCTGCATGTGATAAAAATGATGAATACGTAGTTACATTTGGGTTTCTAACCTCAATAAAAATGCTTAGCTCTTTTCCTTTTTGGAGGACAAATATAGGGCATCGTCTGACCCAGTTTAAAATTGAGTTGATTTATCATTGTATTTTTGCAGATAGAAGCGATGTTGTGAAACTTTAGGTGTGAAAATAGTGACTAATGTGAACTTCCTGTTGGCATACTTGATGATACTCTTAAAAAAAATGTGACTGCTATCCAGAGCCTTTAACACTGCATGTTAGGAGGAAATGGTATATCGTTCTTGTAAATATTTGTCACCTCATCAGTGCTTCTAATGGCAAAGTAAATTTACTCGTCAGAATCACAATGTCTGTGCACGGTGTAAATAAAAATCTTAATGGTACTGCTGTCATGTAGATAATATTTTTTTCCAATTGGTATATTCTCTATCTCCACCCCCCCACCCACCCACCAACACACATGCAGCTTTTTGTTTGGCTTATTATGAATGAAATTTGAACATTTAAGAAAAATAGTAAAGTGAAACACTGTAAATATTAGAAATTTGGAATAACAGGAAATGCACAGCAGGTCAATGATCAAGGCTCCAGCCCGAGATGTTAATCTGTGGTTCTCTTTAAAAGCTGAGTAACCTGCTGTACATTTCCAGCATTTTCGAGTTTTACATTAGAACTACCATCTAACCTCTCCAGGAAAACAGAACTCACAGCTGGCAATGCAATTTTGTAACATTCAATTGAACAAGATGGTCATGATGATGTGAATGGCATCCATTTTTTATAAGTGGCAGAGCATCAGAGATGCTTGTGATTTTTATGTATAGGAAAAGATTAGATTGCTCCACAGTCCCTTTACAGGGGCTAGTGCCAGCTTTAACACCACCATGCCTTACCATCGACGCTTGCCTATCTATCCTCACTCTATGGAATTCCATCCTGGAGTCACTTATAATAAATAATAATAATCCTTGCATTCGACATAGAGCCTTATCACGTCTTCGAGACATCTCAAAACGCTTCACAGAATATACTGTAAAGCGATTGCCCCTTCAAGGACCATCTGAAGACCTTCGACTTTACCGCGTCTTCGGTTATCTTTGTCCCCACTTCTTCCCCATCCTTTCCGAATCCAACCCCAGCATGGGTGCAAACTCTCAACTATCCAATACCTTGGGACATCCTCCCAATGTGAAAGATGCATAGAAATGCAACTTCAAATGCAAATGCTGCTCAGCAGATCATGCTATCTCCAGGAGCACCTATCCAAGGCTAATTTTAGAATGTGTCAGGCCTGCTCCAAACTTAATGTACAAAGCACTAAGATTAGTAATGTCATTTATTTCATTTTTTTCATTTTGTGACTGGTCCTTTCCTTTTTTTTTAAGATGTCCGGAATTGTTTACCACAATAATGTGCTTGAAGTACAGAAATTGCTTAGTGTACCAAAATGGGCAGCTAGAACCACCTCATTGACCCTTGAACCAGTCTTCGCATCTGCTGAACCTACCATTGAGGCTCCAGTAGGAATGGGCGCAACACTAGATATTCAACGGCAACAGAGGATGGAACAGCTGGATCAGCAAATGATGCTTGCTCAACTTAATCAGACCAACAGGAGGAATCGGCGGCAGGTAGGAGGCCATTGCAATAGATTATGTATACCTTTACTTTCTGGTTTTCTTATCACTAGCCAGAATAGCTCTGTACCAGCTTCTGTCTTTTGGAGATACTGAAGCTCATGTTGACTTTCTGTCCAGTTTTTCCCTTCTTTTGGAGAAGCACATCGTTCCCACTCAGGACCTTATCACAGCAGCACGCCAGCGCACAACAACTCATCACATAGTGACCCGTTGGCATGAATCTCCAGTGGCTGAGTGTATAGCTGAACCGTGCAGACTGGTTTGTCTCTTGTCTGTGCTGATGGTTGTACTGTGTATTTTTGCCTTTGTTTTCTTTTATGTCTCATTTGTGGCATTTCTCAATGGAATATTTTAATAATGAATCCCATTGGAATTTCCATTCAAGCCTAGACACTCTGCTCTGGAAGTAGATGGTTTTGAAGCATTGTTCTTACGAAGCAACGTTTCGTAATTCCAGTTCCTGGAAAGACTCAGATTCCTTATTAAGTACTCCGTTAACAGCTATCACAAGTTAGACACAAATCAGTATTTTACTGATTACTTTCCCCTCAAGAAAATAAGGAATTTCAATGCTGATTAATGGAACACTTTCCTGGTGTTTGGTTCAACAACAACATCCTGCATTTGCATTTATCTAGCAGCGCTCACGCAGGGTAGCATCTCAAACAACAACAACAACAAAATTACATTTATAGAGTGCCTTTCACGTTGGGAGGACGTCCTAAAGTGCTGAACAGTCAGGTGTCAGGGCCCGAGCATGGGGGAGGAGGGGTGGTGTAGGGGTGAGGCAAGACAGAGAGGTGGGAGGGAGACCAAAGGCACGGTCAAAGAGAAAGATCTTGAGACCGACCTTGAAGGAGGCAAGAGAGGAAGCGATGCGAAGGGACCGTGGGGTGGAGTTCCAGAGTGTGGGGGCAGAGAGGCTGAAAACCCGTCCACTGATGGTAGGGCGGATCGGGCAGGAGACATGGAGCAGGCCGGAGCCCAATGATCGGAGGGAGCGGGCAGGCTCGTAGGGAGTCAGCAGGTCAGAGAGGTAGGAGGGGGCAAGGCCATGGATGGCCTTAAAGGTGAGGACGAGGATCTTGAACTGGATCCTCTGGGGGATGGGGAGCCAGTGGAGTTGGGCGAGGGTGGGAGTGATGGGGTCACGGAGCCTGGTGCGTGAGAGTACACGAGCTGCAGAGTTTTGGATGATCTGCAGCTTATGAAGGGAAGAGATGGGAAGGCCGATGAGGAGGGAGTTCCCGTAATCGAGCCTTGAGGTGACGAATCATGGGTGAGTGTTTCAGCAGCCTGAGGAGTGAGGCAGTGGCGGAGTCTGGCAATATTGCGGAGCTGGTGGTAGGCAGTGCCAGTCATGGCGCGGATGTGCGGGAGAAAGGACAATTCAGGGTCAAACAAGATACCCATGTTCCTGACTGGCTTAGTGAGATTGAGTGTGCAGCCGTGGAGGCTGATGCTGCCAGTGCGGAGGTGCTGGCGCGAGCCAATCAGGAGGGCCTCGGTCTTGCTGACGTTGAGTTGGAGAAAATTGTCCCTCGTCGAGGACTTGATGTCGGACAGGCAGTCAGGACGTCAGTAGTCCTGGAGTTCAGGGTGGAGGCAGAGAGGTAGAGTTGGGTGTCATCCGCATACATGTGGAAATTTACCCTGTGTCTGCGGATAATGTCACCAAGGGGGAGCATGTAGAGGGTGAAGAGGAGAGCACCGAGGACAGAGCCCTGAGGAACACCGCACGAGACGGTGCGGGGGCTGGAGGAGAAGCCGTTTGCCATGGTGAAGCGGAGGCGGTGTGAAAGGTAGGACCTGAACCAGTCAAGGACAGAACCTTGAAGGTTGAGGTGGGAGGAGAGGCAGTGGAGGAGGATTGAGTGGTCCACGATGTCAAAGGCGGCGGAGAGGTCGAGGAGGACGAGGAGGCAGAGGGAGCCCTGGTCACACATGGTCAGGATGTCATTTGTGACCTTGACCAGAGCAGTTTCTGTGCTGTGGGCAGCGTGGAAACCTGATTGGAGGGGTTCATGGAGGGAGTGAGAGGTGAGGAAAGCGAAGCTGGGAGACAACGGCTCTCTCAAGGACCTTGGATAGAAAGGGTAGATTTGAGATGGGCGGTAGCTAGATAGCTGTGACGGGTCAAGGGAAGGTTTCTTCAGGGTGGGGGTGATGGGGGCTGTTTTGAGCGATTGAGGTGTTTTATTCTATCCCTGATTATTCCAGTACAGGTCAGGCACTTTTCAACTTCAGAAAAACACCCTCAATACTATGTTTTTTTACTGTTTTCAAGGCCATGGCCTCTGGATGAAATTTCCAGTATGTTCCCAATTGTGGACACTTTTCTCTGTGGCTGTTGATAACTGAATTAAGGCGGTTAAGGCTCAAACTCCCTTCAAAAATGACAGTAACATTCAAAAGAGAAAGGATTCTTTCATCACATTAATCAAAGCTGGGTAGGAACTCAGATCAAAGTGGTGAAAAGAATTAGCTGCATTATCCAGCCTTTTCTCAATGTGTTTTTTTAATTTAATCAATACAATACTGCCCGATTGGAAACATATGACCTGAATTCTGTTCTATAGCATGCAAAACTGCAGCTGGCTTGGGTGAGTCTAGCAAGTTGAAAATAACATCATTCTTACTGTTTCAAAGATAGCACAATCTAAGGCAATTGTTTTGAGCAACTTTTGGCATAGATTATACACCTTTTATTTCCTCTTCCTGTTATAGTAATAATCCCTCCAAAAAACAAAGCAATAATAAATTGGTCATTTTCAATCCACGACTGTTTGTAGGACACTGCTGTGCACAATTGGCTGCCGCGTTTCGCCCACAAATATACAGTCAATTCACTTTACAGCATATTCTGTGAAGCGCTTTGAGACGTCTAAAAGATGTGAAAAGCACCATATCAAATGCAAGGATTATTATTATTTTTATGTGAGCCAGAATTCCGAACAGAAGCAAGCTCTACTAATAGAAAGTCGAAATGTACACTAATCTGCAGAAAGAGAAAAGAGAAAACTGTGTTGTGTCCTGATTTAAATTTAAAATTGATATTTGCTTTTAAGAATCATGCATCATGGTTTATACTACTGTAACAATTTGTACAGATAATTGTATATTGTCAAAGTGTGAACATACCACTATGTTTTCACACCTGCTCCACCCCTTCGAGTGAATTTAACAAGCTTTGCAGGTCTTTCTACTGTTCATGTGTTCATATGATTTCAAGATATGAAATCGATTTCCTCGCATACAAATCCCTTCACGCCCTAACACCTCCCTATCTCTCTGACCTGCTTCTACCCTACAGCCCTTTGCTCAGCTAACACAGGTATGCTGTGGGTTCGTCGATCCCTCCATGTCACTTTTGTGCCATGCATTCCGCCACTACACTCTTAACCTTTAGAACCCGTTGCAAACTCCCTGCTTGTCAGCCTCCCCAACTCCTCCCTCCATAGGCTGCAGATGATCCAGAACTCTACAGCCCATGTCCTCTCCCACAACAGGCTCCATGACCCTATTACCTCCATCCTCGTCCGACTCCACAGGCTTCCCATCATACAGAGGATACAGTTCAAGATCCTGGTCCTCACCTTCAAAGCCCTCTATGGTCTTGTGCCTCTCTACCTCTGTGATTTCCTAACCCTCTACCAACCTGCCCGCTCCTTCTGCTCAGCAGGATCCGGCCTGCTTCACGTCTCCCGATTAACCCGGCCCACCATTGGCAGGCAGGCCTTCTGCCACTTTGTCCCCACCCTCTGAAACTCCATCCTGCAGTCCTTGCAACTCACCCCGTTCCTTGCCTCCTTCTTCGACCATGCCTTCGGTCACCCTCCTTCCCTCCTGTCCTCCACCCTCGCCAATCCTGAGTCCAGAACATTGACTGTCTCGCGACTTGGAATGTCCTCCCGACGTGAAAGGTGATATACAAATGAACTTTTGTTTGTTGTTTTTGCCTCAATCTCTCTCCCTCTTTATCTTAAATCAAATATTTAAGTCATCTTTGACTATGTGCACTAAGTCATCTCCTTAGTGATGACTAAAGTCTAAGTCATCTCCTTCTTCTCCCTTGTTTGGAGTTCACTTCCGCCTGTGTGAGCACTGCGAAACACTATCTTGTGTGAAGTGATTTTATAAATGCAAGTTGTTGTTTGTTTATATGTTCCAATGTTCTTCCATATTCTGGTTGTATTGTGTGCTTCCTTCTGTACGATTTACTCAGTCTTCTCTTTACACTATTAATCCTCCTTTACCTGTTAACATTCCCAAACAGTAAGCGAGTTTGGTACTTTCAAATCACGTGACAGAATTACTGTAATGTAAAGCATAATTTGACCGAACAGGACAGTTTTGCCACGATCTCCTAATCTGATCAGATTTTTACTGTAGATTCTGGTTTTGCTCCCCTTCCCAATGGAGGTGCAGTTATTCTACAAAAAGAAGTGTAGAAGGATTAAAACTAACTCCACATTATTTTTGGTTTTCAAACGTATGTAATTTTTTTAAAATATGGTTATTCTAGATAATAAACTGAGTTGCGGGGCCAATTACAGTATTTTTCTCTTTCTGGCTTTATTTTCTCTGTTAGTTTTTTTCTTCCTCTTGTTCTTGCCTTTCATTTCCCATTGTTTCTCTTGTGTCTTGCTTTTCCACTGTTGCTTTCTCTCACTTTCTCTGAATATCTCACAACTCCACCCTGTTGAATCCCAATCCCTTCAAACATTTTGGACCTGTCATTTCCCCTTCCTGCCTAATTTTTCACTTTCTCTCATATCCCTTTCCCACCGGTTTTACATCCATCAATCTTAGCTGTTTGCTGTAAGACAAGGAGCTCTACTATCATAAGAGATTGATAAATGAAGAAGGTCATTATGCCCATTTGATCTGTTGAGCCTTCAACCTCCGTACCTACCCTTTGGAACTCCATCCCACGTTCCCTTTGCCTCGCTCCCTCCCCTCCTCCTTCAAAGCACGTCTCAAGACCCTCC